TTTCCCTTCCGAACCATCAATTATTTTTACAATGAAATTTATGTTTAATGGGAAAAATCTGCACCCTCATCTGTGACAACTTTTCCAGAATCTCTTCCTGAAACAAGCACTCTAACTGAAAAGACAATTTGTGCAGAGTCATGAGCAGCTCGTTGAGTGACTTCAGCAGCTGGGAATCCTTTTGCTCACCCTGTTGTTTTCATAAGCCATTGTGTAAAATTATCAGAGCTGGGAAGGGCCAGACAGAGAATCCTGGATCAGCCAGAGGCCAGTGATGAAGTGATTGTAAACAAAGTGTAGGTAGTGCTAGTCTTCCTTAGTTTATTAAATTATTTTTAGACCTCTTATGCAAGCTCTTCCCACAGCCTGTCTGTGGAGAGTGGCAGCATATATGGGTTGCTGCTAATGGTTTATGTTAAAAGGTGTGGTTTTACTCTACTGGCAAGAGATGGGGTCAGTAGAATATTTAACTCTATTCTGAAAATGGTAATACCATTGCAAGGTAACCCTGAAATCCTGAGCAGGTTTTATCCTAACTTTCCAGGAAAAAACTTCTAAACCCCAGAGCAGGAGGGAATGGTATGTAAAAAATAGTAATTTAGGCTGCAGTTTTGTCACAGTGCTTGTAAAACTATGACTTGGAATAAATTCTCTTAACATTTTCTGGTTGACCTTAAAACTGCTGGAGACTTAGTGCATATATCACTGTGTCATACTGACATATGGGAAGATGTTTCCAGCGTATGAGACTCTTCTGCTTCTTGTGTCTCTGAAGCACTCTTCTGCAGCAGCTTAGCTAAGGAGATGTGTAGCTGAGGAGGGTTAGTTGTGCTAAAGTGCTGATGCCTTTTTGAAACCTGAAAGTTGGTAAGTTACTTAAAGAAAATATTATTAGATTATCTGATATCATAGATTATTTTAGCTGTATTCTTGTTTTACTGCAAAAGATGCTGGGGGTTGCTGTGTCTTGGGTACAGCAGCAGGGTCACACTGAGGTTATACACAGCTGGGGGCATCCTCTTTTTTTGTTTTTAGGGAGTTGAGGCTAGTGCTACACTTCAGTAGCTGAGAATGTAGCAATCTTGCACACCATATGTTTCAGACATAAGATGTTGCTATGATTAACTTGAGGCATAAATTGAAGTATGCAGCCTGGTGATTGGGTTGACTTTGCCCAGCTTGGCAAAATCTCAGACTAAAAAGATTAGTCAACATAGTCTTCATCAAAATCTTCAGGAAAACTGGAATGCATAAGCATGGTACTGTGGGTTCCTCCTGTCTAGCTGTCTGCTTTTTACCTCAGGCATGCATTTGGTGCAGTTCTTGTGCTTCAAAACCAAGTGTAGAGATGTTGAATTCATTTGCTCTAACTTGGTTTTAAGTTATAAACACTCTTGGGTTTTAAGGCAACAAAAATCCACTGTCCAGCCCTGACTGCCTGTTGTGAGAAGTCTGCTGTCTCCTATTAATTTGTAAACAATGTGAGGCTGCTTTTCTTACAGCTTAATTTAAAAAATAAGTCATTAATCAAAGATGGTGACCTCACTGAGTACAGCACATTACTTCAGAGTTAAGAGAAAATGTAAAAGCTGGTAAAAAACCAGTGTTTCCTGGAAGTGTGCTGTGAAGCCTTTCAGTAACTAATTATTTTAATTGCATATGTTATTACTGTGAGTGTTAACAGGTGCTTGAACTCCCTTGTGTGTCCATCTACTGGAAACTTGCCTGCATTGGTGGTTTTTTTTTCCTCCATCTATTTGATGAAACTTACTAAAAGGTGTTGAGTGCAACCAGAACCATTTGCTCAGCACCTTTAAAAAATAAAAAATTGAAGCCAGCTCTTTCACTGCTGATTTCAGTGTGACATCAGGGTTGATGCTGACATTTCCACCTTAGGGGTTTTTTTGGGGTGGTTTTTTTTGCTTGATTTGAGGGAGGAAATGATGCTTTTTGGTTTTGCAGTCCCAGATGCCCTGCGGATTTAACACCCGTGTTTCTCTTTCAGTTCATCAGTCAGTTGCTGGGGATAATCCCCCTGTCGGCAGCTGGTGAGAGCTCCATCGCGCTGCCAGCCGATATCAAAGCCCTGCAGCAGCACCTGTGTGTGGTGCAGCTCACCAGGCTGCTCGGCATCTACCACACCATGGACAAGAAGGAAAAGCTGACTGTGGTCCGGGAGCTGATGTTAAGATACCGCCATGGGTTGGAGTTTGGTGAGAAAAATCTTGAAACTAGTGTTGCTGTTCACCTGCAGCTTTTTATGAGCAAACATTCAGAGCTTTTTCAGGGGGGTGGAACAGCAGAAACTCCTGTGGTAAATGCCACTGTTGGTGCAGAGCACCCAGCCTGCTGCTAGATGACGCTTTTGCTTGCTCCTTTGTGATTATATCCTTGAGGACACCTGAATTTTCCATTTCCCTTTAATTTTG